ACAATCACTAACATCCCACCTCGGGAAAATATTAGAAACAGTCGTCAATAAAAGAAAAACATTCCACATGGAAAAGAATAACCTGTTTAGCAAAACTCAGACAGGATTCAGATCTAACAGATGCACACTCAATGAAATTTTAAAATTATAAGACCATGTTCAAAAGTCATTTGGAACAGGAGGTAAGACAATGGCAGTGTTCCTAGATCTGGAACAGGAGGTAAGACAATGGCAATGTTCCTAGATCTGGAACAGGAGGTAAGACAATGGCAGTGTTCCTAGATCTGGAACAGGAGGTAAGACAATGGCAGTGTTCCTGGATCTGGAACAGGAGGTAAGACAATGGCAGTGTTCCTAGATCTGGAACAGGAGGTAAGACAATGGCAGTGTTCCTAGATCTGGAACAGGAGGTAAGACAATGGAAGTGTTCCTGGATCTGGAACAGGAGGTAAGACAATGGCAGTGTTCCTAGATCTGGAACAGGAGGTAAGACAATGGCAGTGTTCCTGGATCTGGAACTGGGGGGTAAGACAATGGCAGTGTTCCTAGATCTGGAACAGGAGGTAAGACAATGGCAGTGTTCCTAGATCTGGAACAGGAGGTAAGACAATGGCTGTGTTCCTAGATCTGGAACAGGAGGTAAGACAATGGCAGTGTTCCTAGATCTGGAACAGGGGGTAAGACAATGGAAGTGTTCCTAGATCTGGAACAGGAGGTAAGACAATGGCAGTGTTCCTAGATCTGGAACAGGAGGTAAGACAATGGAAGTGTTCCTAGATCTGGAACAGGAGGTAAGACAATGGCAGTGTTCCTAGATCTGGAACAGGAGGTAAGACAATGGAAGTGTTCCTAGATCTATAACAGGAGGTAAGACAATGGCAGTGTTCCTAGATCTGGAACAGGAGGTAAGACAATGGCAGTGTTCCTAGATCTGGAACAGGAGGTAAGACAATGGAAGTGTTCCTAGATCTATAACAGGAGGTAAGACAATGGAAGTGTTCCTAGATCTGGAACAGGAGGTAAGACAATGGCAGTGTTCCTAGATCTGGAACAGGAGGTAAGACAATGGCAGTGTTCCTGGATCTGGAACAGGAGGTAAGACAATGGCAGTGTTCCTGGATCTGGAACAGGAAATAAGACAATGGCAGTGTTCCTAGATCTGGAACAGGCATACGACCAGTGCTATCGGCCAGCAGCTTTGTTTAAAGCAGCTAAATTAGGATTCACAGGAAGAACCTATAGATATATCCGAAGCTTCTTGCAAGATAGAACATTTTCAGTGCTAGTAAACAACAAAAGATCACAAACTTGTGATCAGGTGAATGGAAATCCTCAGGGTACAGTAATATCCCCTACCCTGTTCAGTATATTATTAAACGATCTTGGTGAAGCCATTACGAACAAGGAAACAGGACTAACGCAATTTGCAGACGATTGTGCAATCTACCACAGCCATAATCAGATACCCTGTGCTAAGAAAAGACTACAGAAAAGTCTAAATGAAGTGGCAGATTGGATAGAGAATAGGGGATAAAAAATCATCGACAAACAGTGAACCTGATATTTAACTTTAAAAAAACTGCTTAATTATGACCCTGAAGAAACAAGAATCCAAATTAATGGTAGAACAATTCAACGGACAAGTTCGACTAAATTCCTAGCAATGATTCTGGGTAAGCAAATGACCTGGGCTAAGCACATTGATGAACTAGCAGTAAAGTGCTAAGAGTACAATAAAATGCTGAGATTGATTAAAGGATACAGATGGAGAGCGCACCAGGACACCCTAATACAATTTTATAAAGCATTCGTTAGAGGTAAAATGGAATACGGAAGCGTAGCATACAACTCAGCATCAGGGAACAGCAAATGCTAACATGATAGGATTCAGTGCCAAGCTCTGACCTCAATAATGGGCGCTGGTAAAAGGACATGGAGGTAGCACTAGGCATAACACCGCTCAACCTCAGAAGGAAGCAATTAACCTATAGCTATTGGATGAAAGCGGCCAAAGATGCCAGACACCCAGCCTCAGACGCTTTTTATCATAATGTTACCCACTTAGGTGACAAAGCAATCAGAGATATACTGAGACCAGCAGCCTGGGTCGCTACACTAGAAATTAACAATAATGAAGACTTAGCTAGGACTAGAGGCGAGCTAAGAACGAAGCAAGAGAAGTAGGAGCAGGAGTAATGATCCCTCAATGGAAAATGCAAAGAGAATATAAAATAACAGATCATGTGTCAGTGTGCACAGCAAAACTAGTCGGCATAATGAAGGCACTAGAGATGTTAATAAATGAACCTCCAACAAAATTCACCATACTGACAGATTCGTTGTCTTCATTGCAAACGTTAAAAGCTCATACAGCTAGCAGTAGACCAGATATCAAAGAACAGATTTTAAACCTGACAACCCAACTCAAGAACAACGGATGCCAAGTCACCATTGCATGGGTACCAGCTCACAGATGTGTAATAGGCAATGAGAAAGCTGACCAAGCAGCCAAGAAAGGAGCTAAATGTGATGCCGTAGTAGGACTCGGAAAAACTGAAAGGAATAGCATAATCAAAAGACATATTATTAAAATGTGGAAACTCCAATTGCAGATGAGCACTAAAGGCAGAGATGCATACAACAACCTTAAAGAACCCAGCCTAAACACACAGGTACGGGACAAACTAAAAATCTCAGCTAACAAACTATTATGGAGAGTTAGGTTAGGGAGGCATCCAGAGAAATTTACATCTCCCCTATGTCTGGACTGCTTTCAGGATAATACAGTAGAACATATGGTAAACTGCACTAAATACACTAAATGAAAATCGGAGAGGAAACTCATTGCGGAGTTTTTTCAAAAACATGAACAACAAATTACTGTAAACAAATGTTTACAGGTGGATAGCAATAAAGACATCCAAAAACTTGTTAAACAGTACTTAAAACAAACCAAAACTAAAAAGACCAGGTTAAAGATTAGCTCAAGAAATCATTAGGAGCAAGTCAGATGGTGACCCCTAGCGTAAGGGAGGTAGTGTAAGTATGATGGGTGCATAGATGTGAGTACGTGTTAATCCACAAGGAAGAGTGCGTGTAGTATAAATTCATTTATGTAAAGGATGGATACATAAGAAAAGATGTTTGTAGGCGAATGGCAAGGGGTCACATATGGACAGGAAAGTGGGAATATAGCTGTGCAAAAGGTACAGATGAACGATTACATTGATATAGAAGTGTATATGTGTATGCATGTGTGTGTATATATATATATATATATATATATATATATATATATATATATATATATATATATATATATATATATATATATGTGAGCATGTATATTTATTTGTGTGTGTGTGTGTGTGAATGACCATGCACTCTGCGAACCCATAAATTATGTGGTTGCATGGGACTATACGGTGAACGGCTGTATACATACGTGTTAAATCGCGCAAACTTGTTAATTAATGAGAATAAATGAAATGAAGTGTGTACACCAGCGAGAACCACATCAGCACACACCATCCACCAGAACATGATAACAACGTAACGGACATGTCACATACCAGAAACGGGACATAACTAAAAAAAGTGACACGACCAGACGATAATACAGACATAGCGACACAATAAATAACACGCAAGCCATGGAAGTGTGAGTGTCCTTAGGGTTGGATGTACACGTTTTTCATGAATGTAAGTGCATTTATGTAGGCATTGGTAGACACATATGAAAGAGAATGCACGTGAACGAAATGACAAATAGGTATGCATACACTGATAAGCATGAAAGGAAGTGCAAACATGTAGTGCTGTCTGAGTGTATGAATGCCCGAGTGCATGTACGCACACACTTAGTTGTGTGCGTCCATATACTCCGTGGATTCATACTCAAAACCATCCCATGCCTCATCATGCATACAACATAAACACGATGGGTGGGGCTCCCAACAAGATATGACTGACAGCAAATAGGGGAAACAAGTGAATCGATACTAACAGGACTAGAACACTAAACCACCAATTCCACTTTATCAGTGGGCTGATAGCAAAGGTTGGTGAGGTGATACATATAATCCCGGCTAAAGGCCACGCTAGAATCCAGCAAGACGACAACAACAAGGAATGACTGAATGCCATCCTGCCCTCTTTCCTCTCACCCTTCCCTACCTCTTCCGGATGCACTACGAGTTCAGTCCCCCACCCCATTCCCACAGAGAGCACTTAAGTTTGGTACCCAACATGCCACAGCAATTCTCATCGCTGAACATTTGGATCCTCAGAGTGTGAGCTGGGTGCACCGGGTATATGGTATTCATGTACACCGGAGCCTAGCTGCCAACCCAAACCGACACATCCAGATCACACAATAACAAATGATGAATAGACCCGCTTTGAGGCTCCACACAACATTTCACACACATATCCACGACATGACTAATCCGTTCTTATTGCAGGGAGACAACTATAGGACCACTATGGTCACACATGGAATATTTTCACATTTCGGAACTATACAAAATCAAAAACTGCTTTCAATAATTTTTAGGAAAGTAAAATACTCAACATTTTAAAACTATAAATGGTGGTCCAAAGGACGTTATGTATAGAAGCTCACTCTCCTACAAAATACGCCTGGCCAAATCAGAGGGAGACAAGACTAGAAGGAAACACCGAGAAAGAAAAGGAAAGAAATGCACAGCTAACAACAGGGTAGAGGATGAGCTGTCTGGCTCGAAAGGAAGCATTAAACCCAGAGACGGTGCAAATACTAGAATTTTAGTCATGAAAGTGATGCAAAAAAAACCTAGACCACAAATATAGGCGGAAACTGTTAGCAGCCTCAGCTAGCTAGCAGCAGTCTGAAAGTGGTCAAACTTTAAATTTTTTTCTTTAAAGGAATCAGAATCGAATCTGGTGTCCAGAATTTCTGTTTCATTGTGATCACATCAATGTGACATGAATCCACTCAGTTTCCTGTGTTTGACTTCCAGGACACAAGATCTGCGCACTTGTCTGAGCCTGCTCTGCTCCCTGTAGGTGATGTCACAGATCCAACCACAGGTAAGTTTTTGTTCTGACCCCACTTATGTTCCTACATCCTTTTTATGCCCATTTTAACTGGCCAGGTCAAACTAGATAGACTCCCATTTCTGATATGGTGACGTGCGGCTTTGTTATTGTTCAGAGACCATGACAATGCTTATTTTATCAGATTTTCTTGACTTTAAACACATCATTTATCAGTTATAATTTGATGACTATATTTGTCATTGCCAGATTACCAAATACGTGCATTGTGTAATGTGTAATGAATGTATGTTGTATGTGTTTGTGGCTGAAATGGGGACTGGCTGCAGCAGCAACATTATCATATGTACACCACATTGTATGTGGATATGGCCATCCAGCATTCTCACTGTTGCAGTGAAATAAGTCTGATTGAGCTGACATCCACCTCATTGGTTCCATTGGCTTCCACCAGTTATCAACTGCAAACAGGACCAGGCAAAGAAGAACACACCGCAGCAGTCAAAGAGGAAAGTGCATATGCACCTGTGACAGAAGATCACTAACCAAGCTGGGAAACTTTCCGGACTGAAAGCATGTCTGCATTGTGCACTGAAAGTGTATCAGTGTCAAACAAAGATAAGATACTCTGTGCTTGACAAACTAGTCTACATCTGATGTGGCTGCCTTGCAGAAAACACGCCTGAGAGCTAACAGTTAGAGACTTCCCTACAGGTACACATCACATCCTGGGCTAACAGTTAGAGACTTCCCTACAGGTACACATCACATCCTGGGCTAACAGTTAGAGACTTCCCTACAGGTACACATCACATCCTGGACTAACAGTTAGATACTTCCCTACAGTTACACATTACATCCTGGTCTAACAGTTAGAGACTTCCCTACAGGTACACATCACATCCTGGACTAACAGTTAGATACTTTCCTACAGTTACACATTACATCCTGGGCTAACAGTTAGAGACTTCCCTACAGGTACACATCACATCCTGGGCTAACAGTTAGAGACTTCCCTACAGGTACACATCACATCCTGGGCTAACAGTTAGAGACTTACCTAAGAGCGCACATCACATCCTGGGCTAACAGTTAGAGACTTACCTAAGAGCGCACATCACATCCTGGGCTAACAGTTAGAGACTTACCTAAGAGCGCACATCACATCCTGGGCTAACAGTTAGAGACTTACCTAAGAGCGCACATCACATCCTGGGCTAACAGTTAGAGACTTACCTAAGAGCGCACATCATATCCTGGGCTAACAGTTAGAGACTTACCTACAAGCACACATCACATCCTGGGCTAACAGTTAGAGACTTACCTAAGAGCGCACATCACATCCTGGGCTAACAGTTAGAGACTTACCTAAGAGCGCACATCACATCCTGGGCTAACAGTTAGAGACTTACCTAAGAGCGCACATCACATCCTGGGCTAACAGTTAGAGACTTACCTAAGAGCGCACATCACATCCTGGGCTAACGTTAGAGACTTACCTAAGAGCGCACATCACATCCTGGGCTAACAGTTAGAGACTTACCTAAGAGCGCACATCACATCCTGGGCTAACAGTTAGAGACTTACCTACAAGCACACATCACATCCTGGGCTAACAGTTAGAGACTTACCTAAGAGCGCACATCATATCCTGGGCTAACAGTTAGAGACTTACCTACAAGCACACATCATATCCTGGGCTAACAGTTAGAGACTTACCTAAGAGCGCACATCATATCCTGGGCTAACAGTTAGAGACTTACCTACAAGCACACATCATATCCTGGGCTAACAGAGACTTACCTAAGAGCGCACATCATATCCTGGGCTAACAGTTAGAGACTTACCTACAAGCACACATCATATCCTGGGCTAACAGTTAGAGACTTACCTACAAGCACACATCATATCCTGGGCTAACAGTTAGAGACTTACCTACAAGCACAAATCACATCCTGGGCTAACAGTTAGAGACTTCCCTACAGGTACACATCACATCCTGGGCCAACAGTTAGAGACTTGCCTACAAGCACACATCACATCCTGGGCTAACAGTTAGAGACTTACCTAAGAGCGCACATCATATCCTGGGCTAACAGTTAGAGACTTACCTAAGAGCGCACATCATATCCTGGGCTAACAGTTAGAGACTTACCTAAGAGCGCACATCATATCCTGGGCTAACAGTTAGAGACTTACCTAAGAGCGCACATCATATCCTGGGCTAACAGTTAGAGACTTCCCTAAGAGCGCACATCATATCCTGGGCTAACAGTTAGAGACTTCCCTAAGAGCGCACATCATATCCTGGGCTAACAGTTAGAGACTTGCCTACAAGCACACATCACATCCTGGGCTAACAGTTAGAGACTTACCTAAGAGCGCACATCATATCCTGGGCTAACAGTTAGAGACTTACCTAAGAGCGCACATCATATCCTGGGCTAACAGTTAGAGACTTGCCTACAAGCACACATCACATCCTGGGCTAACAGTTAGAGACTTACCTAAGAGCGCACATCATATCCTGGGCTAACAGTTAGAGACTTCCCTAAGAGCGCACATCATATCCTGGGCTAACAGTTAGAGACTTGCCTACAAGCACACATCACATCCTGGGCTAACAGTTAGAGACTTCCCTAAGAGCGCACATCACATCCTGGGCTAACAGTTAGAGACTTACCTAAGAGCGCACATCATATCCTGGGCTAACAGTTAGAGACTTACCTAAGAGCGCACATCATATCCTGGGCTAACAGTTAGAGACTTCCCTAAGAGCGCACATCATATCCTGGGCTAACAGTTAGAGACTTCCCTAAGAGCGCACATCATATCCTGGGCTAACAGTTAGAGACTTACCTAAGAGCGCACATCATATCCTGGGCTAACAGTTAGAGACTTCCCTAAGAGCGCACATCATATCCTGGGCTAACAGTTAGAGACTTACCTAAGAGCGCACATCACATCCTGGGCTAACAGTTAGAGACTTCCCTAAGAGCGCAAATCATATCCTGGGCCAACAGTTAGAGACTTACCTAAGAGCGCACATCACATCCTGGGCTAACAGTTAGAGACTTACCTAAGAGCGCACATCATATCCTGGGCTAACAGTTAGAGACTTACCTAAGAGCGCACATCATATCCTGGGCTAACAGTTAGAGACTTACCTAAGAGCGCACATCATATCCTGGGCTAACAGTTAGAGACTTCCCTACAGGTACACATCACATCCTGGGCTAACAGTTAGAGACTTACCTAAGAGCGCACATCATATCCTGGGCTAACAGTTAGAGACTTCCCTAAGAGCGCACATCACATCCTGGGCTAACAGTTAGAGACTTACCTAAGAGCGCACATCATATCCTGGGCTAACAGTTAGAGACTTACCTAAGAGCGCACATCATATCCTGGGCTAACAGTTAGAGACTTACCTAAGAGCGCACATCATATCCTGGGCTAACAGTTAGAGACTTACCTAAGAGCGCACATCACATCCTGGGCTAACAGTTAGAGACTTCCCTACAGGTACACATCACATCCTGGGCTAACAGTTATAGACTTACCTAAGAGCGCACATCATATCCTGGGCTAACAGTTAGAGACTTACCTAAGAGCGCACATCACATCCTGGGCTAACAGTTAGAGACTTCCCTACAGGTACACATCATATCCTGGGCTAACAGTTAGAGACTTCCCTACAGGTACACATCATATCCTGGGCTAACAGTTAGAGACTTCCCTACAGGTACACATCACATCCTGGGCTAACAGTTAGAGACTTCCCTAAGAGCGCACATCACATCCTGGGCTAACAGTTAGAGACTTACCTAAGAGCGCACATCATATCCTGGGCTAACAGTTAGAGACTTACCTAAGAGCGCACATCACATCCTGGGCTAACAGTTAGAGACTTACCTAAGAGCGCACATCATATCCTGGGCTAACAGTTATTGACTTACCTAAGAGCGCACATCACATCCTGGGCTAACAGTTAGAGACTTCCCTACAGGTACACATCATATCCTGGGCTAACAGTTAGAGACTTCCCTACAGGTACACATCATATCCTGGGCTAACAGTTAGAGACTTCCCTACAGGTACACATCACATCCTGGGCTAACAGTTAGAGACTTCCCTAAGAGCGCACATCACATCCTGGGCTAACAGTTAGAGACTTACCTAAGAGCGCACATCATATCCTGGGCTAACAGTTAGAGACTTACCTAAGAGCGCACATCACATCCTGGGCTAACAGTTAGAGACTTACCTAATTGCGCACATCATATCCTGGGCTAACAGTTATTGACTTACCTAAGAGCGCACATCACATCCTGGGCTAACAGTTAGAGACTTCCCTACAGGTACACATCATATCCTGGGCTAACAGTTAGAGACTTACCTAAGAGCGCACATCATATCCTGGGCTAACAGTTAGAGACTTGCCTACAGGTACACATCATATCCTGGGTTAACAGTTAGAGACTTCCCTACAGGTACACATCACATCCTGGGCTAACAGTTAGAGACTTCCCTACAGGTACACATCACATCCTGGGCTAACAGTTAGAGACTTACCTAAGAGCGCACATCATATCCTGGGCTAACAGTTAGAGACTTACCTAAGAGCGCACATCACATCCTGGGCTAACAGTTAGAGACTTACCTAAAAGCGCACATCATATCCTGGGCTAACAGTTATTGACTTACCTAAGAGCGCACATCACATCCTGGGCTAACAGTTAGAGACTTCCCTACAGATACACATCATATCCTGGGCTAACAGTTAGAGACTTCCCTACAGGTACACATCATATCCTGGGCTAACAGTTAGAGACTTACCTAAGAGCGCACATCATATCCTGGGCTAACAGTTAGAGACTTGCCTACAGGTACACATCATATCCTGGGCTAACAGTTAGAGACTTCCCTACAGGTACACATCATATCCTGGGCTAACAGTTAGAGACTTCCCTACAGGTACACATCACATCCTGGACTAACAGTTAGAGACTTCCCTACAGGTACACATCACA